GCCAGCATTACAATGCTAGATAGATAAATTTGCTCCAAGCCAATTGAGGCATTTATCCATTCAAAATTGAATCAAGAAATAGGCAAACCATATTTACAGAACACAAGAAAAATTCCCAGGTTGTTTCCTATCAGCCATGCAAATAAGCAACTGAAATGCAACAAAAATATAAAAAGAAAATACAAACGCAAGAAAGGCATTCTGCTTACATCACCAACATTGAGATCTGGATTTCCATCAGTGTTTCCATTTCTAGATGCATTTTTCTCATCATTACGAATCCACTTGGAATTGCTACTCTGAGGCCCATCAGAACCATTGTTGGGGCTCTTAATGAACATTGCATCAGTAACTTGATCCCCTTGGTCCATAGATTCATTGGTCATGCTGGCACTTTCTGAAATATTTTCCAGCTCCACATTAGATGTCTGGTGCTTCTCAATTTCCAGTCTTAAAACACCTTTCACAGGTTTGTGGACCTTGCGTTTAGGATCCTGTTATAATAAAGAAAAGAAAAAAAAAAGAAAAAAGAGTGAAGCAGAAAATCAGAAGCCATTGCTGCATAAATGACAAAGCACCAAAAAGGGAAAAAGAAGAAAAAGAAAAAACAGGGGATGAAGATGCTGAAAAGCTTACTCTAGAAAAAAAATATGCATATAAATGCTTTTAATTAGTGAAAAAGGTAATTACGTACATTTCTATATTCAAAAAAGGATAAGTTCTCATAAAATATCTAGAGAACATTTCAGATTCTTCATTTCTTTGACCCCCCTTTTTTCACAGCATTTCTTTGGCAGAGTTGTTTTGGGTTTTTTATTAGCACCTCACTTACTTTCTTCAATACTTTCTTATAAGCATTTCAAATGCTAAAAAGTAGAGTTTCCCTCCAATACTTCTTTAGACTTGTGAGAGAAAAAAGTGCTTATAAACAAGTTGAAGAATAAGCTATGACAAACAAACAGTCATTGAGGGTCATTAGCTCCCCTGCACTTATCAGTCAAATGCATGCACATTTGCTAAAGCCAAGGAATAACACGATACTATTTTCAAATACTTCACAAATGACCCCCTCCATGCCTCTTATCTGCGAAGATATCTTAATCACAAAGGCAGATAAGAAATGTTATAAAATTGTATCGTTTGATGAAGTATTCCATAAGTTGATTAGTACAACCTCCAGTTTTTTTTTTTTGATGAATCAAAATAATTTATTATGATAAGGAGTACAAGGGGTACTCTACCCATAATGATCTACTAAGGTTGGATTTCCTTTCTTCTACTGGTGTAACTTTCCTAATTTATGTGTTCAAGAAATTACTTAAGCGTAGACTTGAGGTCCTCTTATTACATCCAGTTGAGAGCAAATTTTGATTCACAAGTTAGAATTACATCATTATTTGTTTCACAAAAAATGTAAAGCTCTAAATGAACAGAAACCTTCTAAAGCTCAGCTAACTCATTGATATAATTACATTTGACATACAAAAAGCCCATTTTCCATAGCCTCCCCTACTCTCTACCTCATCCTCATCTTCTCCTATTGGCATTGGCACAGGATGACTCCATGAACATACCTTCAGTCAGTTTATATTGGCATGTAATGACTCCATTAAACCTTATAAGCAATCAAAATTATGCATATAGGGATGGAAGAAATGAAGGACTTCAACTAGTCTTCAACTTTTCTTTGCGAACCATAGAAAATAAAAGCCAGAAATCAACTAGAATGTC